GATGATGATGAGGAGGAGGAGGAGGAGGAGGAGGAGGAGGATGATGATGATGCTGACGATGATGCTGATGATGTTGATGATTTTTGCAGGGGTCGGGTCAAGAGGAGGAACGGGGGGAGGCGGGCGGCGCAGGGTGAGGTTTGAGCCATCAGGAGACCATGAGCGAGGACGGCATTGGGATGTCAGGCAGGAAGGAGGAGGAGGATGAGGACGAGGAGGATATTGAGGAGGAGGAGGATGAGGAGGATGAGGAGGATGAGGACGAGGAGGAGAATGAGGACGAGGAGAAGGATGAGGAGGAGGATGAGGAAGGAGGACGAGGATGAGGACGAGGAGAAGGAGGAGGAGGTGGAGGAAGAGGATGGTGGGGGGGAGTAGAGGATGAGGAGGAGGGAGGAGGTCTGGAGGATAGGGTGGAGGAGAGAGAAGAGGACGACGCCGATGAGCCGATGGTGACTGTGATGCTGATAATGATGATGAGGAGGAGCATGGTGAGGAGGAGGAGGAGGAGGAGGAGGACGAGGTGGAGGAGTAGGCGGATCATGCTGATGAAGATGAAGAGGATGAGGAGGATGAGGAGGATGAGGATGATTCTGAGGACGATGATTGCATCGATGCCGATGCTGATGCTGTTGATGTTGTTGATGATGGTGATGGTGAGGATGGTGACGATGATGGTGATAAGGAGGATGCCGAGGAAACTGAGGATAACTGAAGAGGTCGAGTGAGTGAGTAAGGGACAGGCATGGAATGATGAGGAAGCCTGCCTCCTCCCCCTTCCTTCTCCTGCTCCCTTCTTTTCTTGCCTTGCACCCGACGAAGACGCACGTCCAAATTGCCCACTCATGCACAACATGCTCACGTCCGATAGTAACGCGATGATGGCAACCCCGCTGCAGATGCGGACGGTGAGGAACATCATCTGTTTTCGAACAAAAGGAGACTGGAATGCACATACATATTTATTTCCTGATCTTTGCCGTATTAATGCAGGGGCCCGAGTGGGCCCTTTTCGGGGTTTTTTGAGGCCGTTTTCAGGCCGTCTTGGGGGCCTCCCGGGCCGTCTTGGGGCCCTCTAGGGCGATCTTGGCCCCTCTGGGCAATCTTGGGGGCCTCTTGGGGCTGTTCTGGGGTGTTCTGGCGGCCCTGTTGGGCTGTGCTGGCATGCACCACGACGCCCGCGATGCACGCTTTTTCCATGTTCACAGTCGGACCCCATCCTAGTAAATTTGCGTTTCGCAGAGAGGGTACGGCCTAACGTTCGCGGCCTAATGGGCACGGAGACTGATCCGAGAGCGAGCGCGAATCGAATCGAATGGTGCCCTTTTGTGTTGTCTGGAGCGCTCTGGGGGCCCTCTTGGAGCGTCTTGGGGCCTTCTTGGGCCTCTCTTGGACCGTCCTGGGCTTGTCTTGGGACCCTCTTTGGCGCCTAGTGGGCCATCTTGGAGCGATCTCAGGGCCTCTTCGGCCGTCTCGAGCGCTCTGGAGACCGAGAAGCTGAGTATGCGAAAATGGCACCGAAACTTAAGAAGACCCATGATTTTTGCCTCCCGGGGGCCTCTTGGGAGTCGTCTTCGGGCCCCCCCTTGGGCCATCTGGGGAGCTGTCGAGTGGCCATCTTGGGCCTATCTTTGGCCATCTGGGTCTCATCGTGGCCATCTTGGGGCGCTCGTCGGGGCCTCTTGAGGCCGCTGGGGCCGTCTTGGGGCCATCTGGGGCCGTCTTGGGCCCTCCTGGGGCGCTCCGGAACCAGCCTCCCCGGCGGCGCCCGAAATTGTCCTGGATCTGTTTTCTATGAATGAGGACACCGATTGTTTTAGTGCAGTTGGTCTGGCAGCCTCACAGGCTCTTTCCGATGTCTTTCACTGATAGCTCGATGGTTCAGTGGCAATTAGCACCGCACTACTCGCGCTTAAGTTCACCTTGAGTCGAGCTCGCTTGGTCGTGCTCCTCGGTGTTCTGGCCGTTGCACGCTCGCTGGGTTACAGTTCTTCCCACCCACCACCCATTCCTGCACGTCAGTGATTGACGTTTCGTTCGCTGCGCTTTCGATTCTGCTCGATTGCAATTAGCACTTCCGTGTGATGCCCGTGCCTGAGGACCATCTGCGCCGCAGACGTAAATATCATGTGTGTATTCCAAAGCTTGCACATGTGCTTTAGTCTTTAGATGCTTGCATACATGGATGTTTGTATACATGTGTGTGTGTGCATATTGCATTTCTGCATGTGAGCATGTGTGTTCGATATGTATGTCTGTGTGCACTGCATGCATATATACACATATACAGATACGCGTATCTCGGTATTTGTTATATATATAAAATATGTTTTGTATATTCATACACAAACACCTATAGACATATCCGTATCTGCAAATGTATATGTGTGTATATGTATGTGTTCACAGATGGAACTCGACCGGTCACACATGTCCAAGATACATCCAACTTTACTTACATACTGTCCTCTTCGTCGCACCGCCAGGCGTGTCCCAAGCGTTTCGCTTGAGGCTTCTTCCCATGTCGGACCCTGAAGCTGGAAATTTCCAACAGTTACACAATTTCACGCCGGCTAGTTTTCAACGTGGTTCTCGCCGTGGCGCCGAGCATGTTTGATGCAGTTCCTTTTCCGGATGGGGCGCTCCCCTCTCAGAGAAATCATGACCAGCAGGGTACACATGTGCAACATCTTCGCGGATGGAGGTCACTCGTTTTTATTTTGAGTTTCTGGTTCGAGGCGCCGTTTTTTTTTTTTTTTTTTTTTTTTTTTTTTTTTTTTTTTTTTTTTTTTTTTTTTTTTTTTTTTTTTTTTTTTTTTTTGTTTTTTTTTTTTTTATTTTATTTTTTTTTGTTAAAACAAAAAGGTCATCGTTATTACAGGTTTCAACGGTTAGAAGTTGGTCGGGTGGTTCTTTTTAACGCGGGTCTCTCTCTCTCTCTCTTTCTTTCTTCTTCTTTCAAAACGAGGCTCGCGTGAATTGCAGACCCATGGGGAGCTCTCCTTTCGTGGGGACACTTCTCATCGTGAAAAGGAGTGCCTGCAGGGACTTATCGAGCATTGCTGAAGCATTTTTACGCTGGTCCTCCTCCTTTCCTCCTGCTGGGCTTGGGAGGCTGCCTGGCTTCATTGAAATTCGCCGTGCTGGCTCGGGGCTCGAGTTGTTTGTGTGTCAGTGTGGGTGTGTGAAATCTCCGCCCAAACGCTGGGGTGCGGCCTCCGACGGGAAGCCAGTCACCGGTGCGATGATCTACATTTTCAAGGGATTCGGCGAGGTCTGCAAGCTGCCCTGCACCCTCTGCAAGGTGGCAGGGCTCAGGGTTCCCAGATCTCCGACGATTTTTTTTCAATCCAGGCGTTCTTCCTCGATCTAGGCCTCTGGTGGCCTTCTTCGTGCCCCAGGGTCGTAGAGAGTGAGTCTGGGGCGAAAACTCTATCCCAGTTGAGGGGATCGGGGCCTTTTGGGCCCTGGGGGGCTCAGGGCTGTGCGCGCACAGCTTCACAGAGGTACGGCAGGTTCGTGTCGTGCCGACGCCTGCAGCGACCCCGCCGCGGGCGTTCTAGGGCTGAACGCCGCCAGAGGCGCGGCAGCGGCCATCGTGGAGCTATCTGGCGATAGAAGCGCCGCCAGTCGGTCGAGGCAGGGCGGTGTCCACGCGGTGCCAGAAACCAGCGCGCAGGTCGGTCGTCGCGGCACGAGCCTGCTGTAACTCGGATAGGGTGTCGACTACAGAATTGAGTTGCCCCATAGTTGTGTTTTGTGTCGAACCCATGAGGCATGCTACGTGTTGCTTGCGGATTCGATTCGGGGATTCATTTTGGGGTTCAGTCGGCCCGCATGGTAAGGATGGGCACGCTTCCCATGGGTACCCTTGCATCCTCGGCCCATCCTTGGCCACTTTCGTTGGCCGCGCCCCGCTCGAGAAGCTCCGACATGGGCGTCTCAGGCCACTGCATCCTTATCGCGCATTCTTACGATACGGGTCGACTGTACTTATCCCAGTCGAAATGGGCGTCCAAGGCCCCGGCTTCCTCACCGCGCATACTTGTGATACGGGCCGAGTGTAAACCAACTCTGCAGTCGGCCCCCTGCTCGAGTAGTCCCTGGCGCCTGGCTGGCCTGGGGGATGGTCCAGGGCGGTCCTGCGACGTCACCACTGGGCGCCGCCCCCGCCTGCCACCGAGCTGTGGTGCGTTTCGAGGCCCCCCTGTGCGGGTCCCAAGGATATACGCCTCCCCCCTCCTCCCCCCCTCCCTCCTCCACCCTCCCTCCTCCACCTCCCTCCTCCACCCTCCCTCCTCCCCTCCCCTCCCTCCCTCCTTCCTCCCTCCCTCCTTCCTCCCTCCTCCTCTACCCCCTTCTTCCTTCACCCTCCTCTTCCCATCCTCGCTTCCGGCGAGGGGTGAGGGGGGGTGATGGAGGTGGAGGAGGAGGAGGAGGAGGAGGAGGAGGAGGAGGAGGAGGAGGGGGAGGAGGAGATGGAGATGGAGATGGAGATGGGGATGGAGGAGG